TATATAGTCACTGACTGTGTGTCACAAGCATGTGTGATGAAGCAAGAAGCAGGACCCCTTCCCTGTAGATCTTGACAGCGTTGGCCATGGCTCCCAGAAGACCTTAAGACTTACTGCCTGCCCAGCAAAGTGTAGCTGGCCCTCACTGGCCATTGACTGAGCTGATATATATATATATATATATATATATATAGTCACTGACTGTGTGTCACAAGCATGTGTGATGAAGCAAGAAGCAGGACCCCTTCCCTGTAGATCTTGACAGCGTTGGCCATGGCTCCCAGAAGACCTTAAGACTTACTGCCTGCCCAGCAAAGTGTAGCTGGCCCTCACTGGCCATTGACTGAGCTGGAGATCAGCCTTACCTGACCAAACATAAGAGACCTCTGTGAATGACTAAGTCCCATGCACCTTCAGTAGGGATGGGGAGGGCAAAGCCTGGGATGAGACATTTCGATTGTTTCAGAGTCTCAACGGTTTCCCATGGGCCTTTAGGATTCCCTTCACGAAGGAGGGATCTCTGACAACAGCTTTGTGTTGGGACTGTGAGATTTGGAAAGGCCTCCATACCACTGCTGGCTAGCTGCCTGTGTTTGAGGAAATGTACTCCCTTGTCTGGACATGGCTTGGTGACTGACCACTGAGTCATGTGGTGTCACCTGTGTATCACAGGGGGGAGGCCTAGAAACTTTCTCCACCATACCCATTCTTCAAGACCCACAATCCACCCCACCGTCATGTGACTCTTCATGGGAGACATCCCTTCTCTGTGGCTGTAGGGTCTGTCGAGCACATCCTTCAGGATCCAAAGGCCACCTCCTCCTGGGAGGCTTCCTTGGTTTCTTGCTATTCCCTACAGTGGCTTGACAATTCAACTGACCTGGATCTCTTTGAAAGTTCTCATAATATCCTTCTTGTTATCCATGTTGACTTTATGTGAAAAAATTCTTTGAATTACCAATGGCTGGAGCACCTATCATGTCCCAGATTTGGTGCTGCTGGGGGTGGGGGGGGGAGACAAAGGTAACTAGACAGTGTCAATGCTGATATGTGTGTGGCAGGGTGGGCATGGGTGGAACAGCTTCCCAGCATCAGGTGAGCTGTACCCAGAAGGACGAATTGGTCATGACAGGGCAGAGAGGAGTCTGCTGCAACCATAGGGAAACACAGGTCTTGAAGAGGCCAAACTTGCCCAAGTCAGTGGTCTGGGGCTCAGGGCAGGAGACCAAGTGAGGAAGGCTGGCAAGGATCTGTTCAGAAGGAGCTGTGAAGTGTTCCACCATGCCTGTTTGTGGAGGGCAAGGGTCAGGTCCAGGTTCAGGGTCCTCTGCACCACCTATCAACTTAGCCTTCTCTTCCATAGAGATAATAACACTCTCCTTTCTTTTCCCATAGTGCAGTGCCCCTAGGACTTGGGGGTGGGAGGAAGAAGGGGGAGGAGAACGAAGAGAAGATGCAAAATACTAGGGGCTCCCAAATCCTTCAGTAACGGAGACAAACATCTGAGAGGGTGCCAACCCCACTAAGTAGTTGAGATACCTAACACATAAATGCAATACTTTAAAAGTCTCTAAAGAAAAAAAAATCCACCGTGAACAAAATACCAAAAATGTAAATAAAGACAGGATGTGCCTGGCACAAAGTATGCAGGCCAGAAACACAGGAGCTGTGATTGGACAGAGTTCTCTACCTCCTGTGGACTTCAGGAAAACCCGAGGAAATCCCGCAGCTCTTCTCCCCGGAAGTATGCACGAACACGAGCAATCTGTGCACAGTGTGAGGGTGCTTTTGCAAGTGGAGGCGAAGCTCTCCGGCTGGACCCTGGGGCTGGGGGGGGGCGGGGGGCCCCAGCTGCCGTGGGTGCTCTGCCCCCTGCAGGATGGGACGCACAGCTCGGTGGTGCCCTCCCCGCTCGGGCCTGGGAGTTTTCCGAAAGTTTGCTGAAACCGGACACCTTGCTTGACCGTGCCCGCGTGCAGCGGCGATTTAAAGGCCGCCTTCAGCACCCCTTCCCCGCCCCCAGCGGAGACTTCAAAAGGGCCGGCGCCGGCCGCGGCCTCAGCACCTATGAGCCATCCCCCACGCCCGGAGATCGCGCGGGAGCCGGAGCACGCCGAGTGGCAGCGGCTGGAGCGTAGGAGGACCCCGCGGGTAACACAGCTCCGAGCGCCCATGCCCCTCCCGGCGCCGCTGCGCCGCGTGCGCCTTTAGGGAAGGGGACCGCACCCCCGCCCCCGCGCCCGGGGCTGCGGGGACCCATGACCACAGATGCCGTTAGGCGCCCGTCGAAGGACCGAGCGGCCAGCGTCGCACTTAGGGACCCAGTAAGTGCTCCGGGGCTCTTAGGCATTCTGTGTGCGTAAAGGTGCATGCGTGTGCCGGGGTGGGCGCGAGTCCTGTGTGCACGCCCGTAGTGGTCACTCGGGGGAGAGCTGTGTGCGAGGGAGAGTGTGCACTCGGGAACGTGCATGGGATGTGTGTACGTGGGAGTGTGTTCGCTGTGCGAGTGCATTTGTGTGTGTGTGTGTGTGTGTGTGTGTGTGCACTCGAGTGCCTGCAGCTACGAGCTGAGCGTCTGAGCGCGCGCGGAAACCAGTTTCTGGTTTCACGTGAACCAGGAAAAGTGAGTGGCTGTGCCTGCGTGGGAATGAGTGTGAAAGTGTTTGGAATGTGTCGGTGGTCCAGAGTGTGGGTGCGCGGCTGTCAATGAGTGTGAGTCGCCTATAGAGGGTCCATGGAGGCCAGAGAGGATTGTCTCAGTGCTGAACCCGGGTTGTGAGTCGGAACTTGTCCAGGTGTGAGGGTGTGCCACTCTGCGCTCCAGCAGGGGATCCCGGGAGTCTCTGGTTCCCTCCGGGCGAAGGTGGAGAAAGGCTCAAGGTATTGAGCATGGTCCCCTACTGCGTTCTCCAGGGAGCCTAGAGTCCAACCTTTCTGCCAGGCGTTGCGGTTTAAAACAACGCTTGTCTTGGAAGTCTGACACCAAGTCCCGGTCGTAGTGGTGTTCCTGGGACTCTTGAATCCTTTCAATTGTAGAATCTGTCCCTTTTGTCCCTATGCGAGGACCCTTAGTGTCAGAAGTCGGAAGTGGTGATGGGTCTGTGGGCAGCCTGGAGCAGCCCCTTCTTCCTGCGTCTGTTTTGCGATATTCACCGGGAGGAGGGGCGGGTGTCCCTGGGGAGGGAGGGAGGGATGGACGGATGGATGAATGGCTGGATGGATGGATGGACGGAAGGACGCTGACCGGCTGGGGCTGCGTCCCCTGCTACAGCCGGCAGAGGGCAGCAGGTGGCAGCAGAGGGCGGCCCGGCGCGGGGAGGAGAAGAAGGTGGAGAGCTGCGGCGGGCCGAGACTTTAAATCGCCTTCATTTCCCCCAAATCCTTCCTTTTCCTCTCCTCCCCCAGGCCGGCGGGGAGGCAGCTTCCACCGTCCTCCGCGCGCGCTCGCCCGGCCTTGCTCTGCCTCCAGGGACCGCCAGCAGCCCGCCTCCAAAAGTTTGATCATCTCTTTTTCCCTTGCTTCTTCTTCCTTTTCGGTGGAAGCAGAAAAAGAACGAGCGAGGCAGGGCTAGCGCGGCGCCTGCTCCCCTGGGACCATGGGCCTGGCGCGGGCGCCCGCGGGGCCCGGGTCGCGCTGCCCGCCTCCTCGGACGCCCCTGGACGCGAGGCTGCGCTGGGGGTGCGCGGGCAGTGCGCTCTGAGCCGGCCTGGCGCGGCGCGGCGTGGGGCTGGCGGCCCCATGGGGCGCGCCCACACTTGCCCCCCGGGCTCGGGAGCATGAAGTAGGGGCCTGCCATGGGCGCGGGATCCGCACGGGGGGCCCGAGGCACAGCGGCGGCGACACGCGGGGGGTGAGTACAATCTCGGGGTCGCCCGGGACACGGCTTCCTGCGCCTCGGATATGCACCCAGGCTGGGGTTCCCCGCCACGCCGGACACTCGCAGAGGAACATCAGCTTCCTGTAGCTTCCTGCGCCCCCGCCAGGCGGTATGCCAGGGGTTAACCCGGACTGCGCCCCTCGGCCCGGCCTGCTATAGTCAGGCTGGGCTGAGTGGTGCCTGCCATTGGAGCTAGGGCCAGCAGGGGAGGGTCCGTGCAGATCCAGGTCGGTGATCGGGAGAGAGGACCCGTGGCAGAGCCTAGAGTGGCCGTCAGGGGACAGGGACAGGGGCTGGAGGAGGGGTTCTCGGTGTAGCAGAGGTTTCGGTGTCTGGACGTCGCAAGCTTGCACACCTGGGGTTCCGTCTGTCCTTGTGAGTCAAGTTTGTGGGTCTCCAGGTCCGGGCGTCTGCTCCTGGCTCAGTTCTGTAGTTCTGTACCCTACCCTGCATCCCTGCGTTTCCTAAACCCTCTGCCTGAGTGTGTATCTGCTTGGGTCTGCACGCCTCAGACTTTCCCAGCTTCTCCCGGGAAACTTGCAGTTCCTGCCCCTCTCCCGAGAAAGCGAGGAGAAGCCAGCTTGTGAGAGCGGAAAGGCCCTGGGAGATCACCAAGTCCAGCCTCCTTGTACAGATCGGGGAACTGCGGCCAGAGAGGGGCCGGGAATCTCCAGGGCGGGGCCGCACACGGCTGGAACCCCGCGGCTGGGATTCCCAGCTTGTGCAGAAATTGTAAGAGAGCGAGGAAGAGAGTCACTGCGTGTGGGTGTGTGTGGGAGAGGGCAGGCTTGGAGCAGCCCAGAGGAGCCCTTGACTGCAGCTCAGACATAGGATTTGCTGTCTTTTCATCCTGCTGGAACTCTAGGACTCTGGGGAGAGGCTGGCCTGGGCTGTAGCTCGGCCCACACACCCAATCCAGGCTCCGCTGAGCTGGAGCCAGGGGGTGAGGCACCCCCCCCTTCTTTTCCATGTCTTGGAAAAAGCTGGCTGTTTGAGATTCCCCAGCTCCCCCACCACACATATTCACACACACACACACACACACACACACACACACACACACACGGCACCAGTGAGCATTCTGGTGACTCATTTTCTCCAGGAGACCCAGTGCCAGGACAGATGCCAGCAGTTGGGCAGGGCGATGGTACTAGGGATCACCCCACAGTGGGGCCTAAGGTTTGGGCAGGCAGGCAGTCCCATTGCCTCTCTGGCCTTCCTGGCTATACCTTCCTGGCTCCTGTCCACCTGGGCTCCAGCAGGCTTTCCCACTTTGCCCCCACTTCTCTGTAGCATCTCAAAGATTAGGTTCCCAGCTCCCTCCTGCCCTTCCTGGCTTCTGCACTGAGAACACTCTCTCTGTGTATCCGCATGCTCTACTGTCCCTCTGGAGCCTCAGCTTCCAGGAGGTGCACTGAAGGGGATCACCAAAGAGGCCCACCCTCAGTGTCACCCCTTGTCTCTGCTCATACCTCAACATACTCCCCTAATATCTTGTTGGCAGGTTATTGCCTCCAGTCTGTGTCCAGGGACCTTCCAGGGACCCATAGCCTGACCTGGCCTGACAGACAGTCCACTGGTGGTCACTGATGGCAGGGAAAGGGTCCTAGACTCACTTCAGTGGGAAGCAGCCTTGGGGACAGAGCAACAGGCAGCTTGAGTTCAAGTCCTATAGTGCCGTGTGCTTGACCAGGTCTCCTACCTCAATGCTTCTCATTTTAGCATCTACAATATGAGCATCAACCTTCCCAGTGGTGGGGTTTTGTGAGAGTTAAAGGAGCATGCTCAGGAAGGGCCCAGAACACTGCCTGATCCATAGTAAGTGCTCAGTAAACCACAGCTGTTATTTTTATCAGCATTCACTTTGTGAATGGGTAGGTGAGTCAATGGGAAAGTTCTGGGTTGCATCCTGTCCAGACAGATGACGTGTGTTTGTGTGTGTATGTGTGTGTGTGTGTGTGTGTGTGTGTGTGTGTTCCCATGGAGGATGGAGGAGGTGGAAGGTATGGAGAAGAACTTTGGGCATGGCTGTCCAGGCACACAGGGTCAGGTGAGGCCACGGAGGCAGGTGGGACAGGGACAGACTCAAGTCCCTCCTAGCTAGATTGGTCAAAGCTCACCGCACGATAGAACAGCCAAGTACAGTGTCCACAGGGCTGCCTGCCTCATGGGTTCCTGTGCCTGCTGGGTGCAGACCAAGGAGCTCTCTGAATATTGAAGCCAGGATGGACTTCCGAGTCCCCAGTGTTTCCAGGTAACAAGGGTGGAAAGAAAACCATACAGAGGGAAGCTTCTGGGTGCCTCACTGACCTGGAACAACCATATGTGTGGAGCTGGTAGCTGGCCTCTTGCGGGGGTTGGGGTGGGGTGGGGGAGAGCCTCCAGGGTACTCCCTGGAGAGGCTGCATAGTCAGGCTCTGTCTCCAAAGTTCTGTCATTGTGGCTCCCACTTGGGCTGCCTGCTGCCTTTCCTGGGAGGGGTCCCCATGCACTGGTCTTCCAGATGCTGTGGAGCCCCAGGGAGGCCAAGCCAAGGCCCATGAGGCAGTAGTGGAAAAAGTCGGGGAGAACAAAGCTGTGAGACAGTGCAGCCACCCAGCTTTATTAGCAGTAGCCTGAACGGTATTAGAATGGCCCGGCCTCTTCCCCTCCTTCACCAACTTTCCAGGCTGGAACTCACTCACGTAGACAGCTCATGGACTCCCGGCTGGATCTCCATTCATGTTGAGGAAGCTGGAACTCTAGTCTCCAGCAAGTAGCAAGTCCCTAAAAATGCCCACTCTCTGGGAAGCGGGGAGGACACAAGTCAAATGGAGATCTGTTAAGTGGGACAATTGAGGCGCTATGTTGTTTTGGGCAAGTTGCTTTTCCTTTGTGCCCATCTCTTCAAAAAGGTGGTTGGGACTAGAATCTGGTCCCTAGGGATCGATCCTCAAGGACCTTCCCTCACTCAGTTGTGCTGTGTACTAGGGAAGTTTATGCATCCTGCGTGTACAGACTCCCATCAGGACAGCTGTATGTATGACAGTCTTTGAGGACTTTGGGCTCAAAACCATGGCCTTGGGCAGGTAAATGGCACAGAAGATGTGACTCTATCTCCTGAGTCCTCCTTCTGACCTTGAGGATTTAACAGTGTCTTCTAACATACCCTCTAGGATGACCATGACCATAGTCGAAGATGACTCCAAAAGAAACATGTGGCTCTTGTGCCTTCTTTTTCTCACCTGGCCTTTCTCATCAGCTGGGAAACATCTAAGATGGGTTACATATGATATAACATTGAGGTACTCAAGGAGTGAGGGCAGATGCCAGGAGTTTCTGGTGGTGGACAGTTTCCTGATTGCAGGATGTCTCAGAGCCTTTAGAGGGCTGGTGTGTCGGATGCAGGGGATGGCTCTTCCCCAGGCTACCTGACCACAGTTTCTTAGAGCACCATCCTGAAGGGCAATGTGTTATGCCCTTTGCACAAGGTGGCCTTGAGGAGAAGTACCTGCCTTTGCTGGGTCACACACTGTTGTGCCATTTGTCAAGTCAGACAGAACTGCCTGTTATCCTTTCCCAGGGCCATCGAGGCTGCCCATGGCTTCCATAAGCCATCATGGCAGAGGGACCCTCCACCTTGTACCAGGCAATCTCAGGGTAGCTGGGTGCTCTGCCTGTAAACAGTCATCCACACTTAGCAGGATGCTGGTCCAGGAAGGAGAACCCTCAGCAAAGACAGCTGATTGTAGATGGCAATGAGGCACTTACAAGAAGAAAGAGTCGGGGAGAGGAGGAAGGCTTTGGGAAGGAAGACACTTGGAAGTCCAGAGTCCTGCAAACATCTGGCATTCTTACTGTTTATTACCTAATGGGTACATGTACAAAGCTCCCCGGAGAAGATTTCAAGGGACTGTCTTTTCACCCAGTCAGCCTTAGGCTTCAAGTAACTGAACAGCAGTGTCATCAAACACCTCCCATTTTTCCCATTCTGTTACCCTCATGTGTTCCTGGGACTTCTTACCTTACACACAAAATGGCTGCAGCAGCTCCAAGCAGTGTCTCCTTACTCAAAAACACACAGAGGCTAGGAGAAAATCTTATTCTTTGCAAATATTTTCCCAGGGTGCCTGACCCCCATTGCCAACATCTCATTGGTCATATTTGAGTCATATATGCATGCCTAAACCAGTCACAGGCATGGCAAATGACACTGCCTGGTTTAGCTTAGGCTAATCTGGATTCATCCAATCCAATGTCCTCTGGAGTCTGTCTGTGAGCGGACAAGCACCAGTATGTTTGAGAGCGCTGAAGTCTTTATCAATATTGGTCATGATTTCTAGTAAATTTAAAAGCAGGGAGAGCTAGAAGGGGGTAGCATGCTTTCCCTGGTGCCCAGGTTGCCTGGGCAGAGCCTAGGGCCACAGACAGCAGCCCTGGGTTTCCTGGGTTACCCTGTTCTTCAGTAGCACACCAACCTGGTTTTGCTCTTGGAAGATGAACTTGGCCAGTCCGTCCCAGCCAGAGTCCTCGCCACTCCTCACTCACCTGGCTCAGTGCTCCCCACTGCCATCCCAGCCATCTCTGGCCACGTGCTGGCCTCCCCTCTGCCCTCCTGGGGATCAGATGCCCAGAGTGGCTTCGGGTGTCCCAGTGGCTGCTCCCACAGGAAGGTGAAATCCATCTGATCATCGCCTTTACCCATCTTGGCAGGAGTCACTGAATACAGCTTTAACCCCTCCTGGCCCCAGCAGTGGGGCGGCGGCAGGAAAGGTCACAGGAGGGCTTCCGTGGCTGGTGGCAGCCCAGCTCCTCACGTGCATGAATGCCAATTTAATCCCCAAGGTTGGCCTGCAAGAGAGGGTGTGTCAGCCCTTGCTGAAGAACAAGACAGGCTCAGGGAGGCTCTGACTCTTCAGGGGTCACACAGCCTAGAAGCCCCAGGGAACAAGGTTTGCCCTCGGGGATGCCTGGATGTACCCCATGCCTCCCATTTACTATCAATCAGCACAAAGTGAAATGGCCCACTGCCTAAGTCTGGTGTGGACCCTGTTAAGCGGTCTTTTCTTGGTCCAGTACCTTGAGGACATTGGTCACACAAACAGACCAGCTTCAAATCCCTTCTGCCCTTTCAGCCTTGGCCCTGCTGTTCATTGCCTGGGGTGTGGGGAAGGGGCTGCAACTCACGAGGCTGTAATGTAGATGAGGAGATTGAGGTTGAGGGATGTTGGACTGTAGATCTTCCAACATCCATCACAGGGCTGTGGATCCATCTGTGAAATGTGAGGCTATGTTGGTAGCTTGCAGGCAGGCGGTACTGTAGCCTGCAAACATCCTGGGAGCAGGAGTCCCTCTGAATGGTCCTTGCAGCCTGCACCTTACCTCTGGCTTCCAGGGTGAGATTAGGATGGAAAGGAACAGCCAGATCCCTGGGCGTGAGGGTGGAAGCTGATGCTGTGTGCATTTGTATCTGCCCATCTCTAGGGAGTTTCTCTTCGCCTGGATTGTGGTCTCACTTGCCTGTCACCTGGCCTCCACCCAAGGAACTCCTGAAGGTAATTCTCACTTCTCTTTGTCCAACGGGAGACAAAGGAGGACAGAAGGGGACTGGAGAACTCAGGTAGCAGACATCCGCACCCCTAGTTGGAACACAGGGGCTCAGTTTTCCTATCTAGAGAATGGAACTGACCACAGGCTTGTCCCCCTGGGGTCTGTGAGGCGTGGGAAGGGCTGTAAGCAGTGCTGTCCTTCTGTTTCTACCACATCCAGTCTGAGTGCTTTCTTGGGCTCAGTCCAGTGGGTACTCTAAGAATTGTTGCTAGGGAACATGGGGGCTGCAATGTCCTTGCCCATGCCCGGCATGCCCACTCTCTTCTTTGCAGGAGGTCTTGATGGGCTGGCCTCTTGACTGCCCATGGAAACCCAGACCTCTCCCCCATCTGTGCCAAATGTCCATAGTACGCCGGCAACAACTGCCTTTCCAAACCCTGCCTGCCTTCTGCATTCTGGGGCAGGCAGTGGGCACCTCAGGAGTCCCCGTGGCCTGACTTGGCCACTGGGCAGGGATGGGACCCCTGGGAGGTGAGGGTCGTGCCCAGAAGGGACTTTGCTGCCTGGCAACATTTGTGCATGTGTCATATTTTCCAAGCTTGCTGAACAGCTGTGCAGAGTCCTGAGTCAGGGAGGGGGCGGGAGTGGCCGGAGCTGCACCCAGCCAGGTTTATGTAATAAAGGCATCTTCTTGGGGCCAGCTGGCAGGCCCTTGCTTGCATCTTGGCGCAGACCGAGGTTCATTCCCTGTCCCCTGTCTCTTCCTCTCGATGGGATTCTGGATGGGGCTTGGCTCTGCTTCCTGACCAGTCTGGGCAGCGCCCAAGCAGTGTAGGGTGGTGGCTGAGAACAGAGACCCTGAGTTTGGGACCCTGGGTTCCAACCCCAGCTGTGAGCCACACAGCACCTTAGATAAGTTCTCATATGTGAATATGGCCTGTACACATCTGCCACCCCATCACAGACGGGAGGCTCCTAAATCCCAGGCCTGTTTGAGCTACATAAGGATACCCTGCCTCAAAAAACAATACAGGGCATATGCAGTGCCAATAACCAAATTCTGCTGAAGAATGGTTGAGGGAACCAGGTGAACGTCATCTGTGATTTTGTTCGTCAGAAAGGTCTGTGAAACACAGCCTTCCCTGTCCTCATGGGGGTCCACAGTGGCCAGAGACTCCCAAGAGTCAAAGTTTGTGCTTTATCGGCTTCAGGGAACCCCCCCCCCCCCCCCCCCCCAAACATCCGCGCCCTTCCCTTTTCTAAAAAAGACACAGGAGGGAAAAAAAAACATGGGACCCCCCCCCCCCCCCGCCAGCAGAAGCTGACTGTCCATGAGCTTTGAAAACCATCCAGAGGGTGAAAAAAGAGCTCTGCAGTGATGCCCACCCTGGCCATCTGTGTCCCTCCGGGGGTGGGCCACCTGAATGGAGGCCTGGTGTGTGGAGAGGCATGTAGGGGTATGACCTAGAGCTGTGGGGAGGGCAGATAAGAGTCTCAGTGATTAAAACGTGTAAGATTGATTGCTCAGAGACTCCATAAACAGTGCCTTGTTTTAGCTTAGAGCTGGGGACTGACAGTTGTAACAAAGGACGGGAAGGGGAAGTGAAGATGACATGGAAAGCCCTAGAATCCTAGGGAAGAAGAGAGTCTTCATCCAAGTCAGGCTGAAGCTATGGATGCAGCATCCTGGGGTACAGAGTTCTTAGAATACTGGGAGCCTGCTGTGCTATCTGAGGCCCTCAGACAGGGAAACCAAGGCCCGGGGGTCATGAAAAGACTTGGGTGGGGCTTGGGTGAGCATGTGGGTGCTCCTCATTATCCCATTTTGTAGTGGAGGTAGCTGAGCCTCAGGGGCCAGGCTCACAGTGGTCTGGTCAGGCTTTTAGTCTCACTTTCTGACTCTAAAGTCTGCTAGAGGAGCTATTCAGCTATGTGGCCAGCACCTTGATTTTCAGTTTCCCACAGTGCCCATCATCCTTCCATCCATGTATGCATCCATCTAGCCATTCCTCTATCCACCATCCATCTATCCCTGTCCATCTGACTCTATCAGTCATTCTTCCATCCATCCATCCATCCATCCATCCATCCATCCATCCACCTACCTCACAGTTGTCGACTGAGGGCTAGCTAAGTATCAAGTGCTGGGTCCTTAACCTGTGACCTGGACATTGAACAATAGGGAGAGAGCATTCAATACTCAGGAGTAGGGTCTCAAGACCTGGACCCAAATGGAAGTCCTGGAGGCATCTGATGTCTCCCTGCAGAGATGGAGGCCAGGAGCCAGCTTCTATAGATGCTGGGAACTTAACAAGTTGATGGTGACCCAGAGACACCTTTCCATGTACATGCAGAAACCCTCCTTTTGGTCTTGCAAACCCTGCCAGTGTAATTACCGGGTGGATGAGACCCGGCTAGACCATGGTCAGATGTCTACATGCTTTACCAGAGCTGTTTGGGTTACTGCCTCTGTACTTCCAAAAGCCAGTCTGAAGGATAGCTTAGTGAAGTTTCACCTTTCTCTCATAGCAGAGCCCAGCTCCTCAGCCTGCTGTAGTGCGGGAAGGGGACCAACTATGCTCCAGAGGAGGTGAGACCAGCCAGGATCCCCAGACTTTCTGACCAAGCTCTGTTGCCATGTCAATAGGAGACTTTCCCTGAGGTAGAGAAGGGCAGCCCTGACTGTTTCAACATTGGTGTTTGCTGAGGTCCTTAGTTATTTTTAGTAGCAACAGCTATCATTTAAAGGTGCTAATTTCCTGCCAGACGCTTTGTCACAAGGTATTGGCTCATCCTTTCGAGATAGGTCCTACAATGTGACTCCATTCGACAGATGGGAAGACTGAGGCTTTAGGACCACAGGGTTAGGAAGTGGCAGAGCTGGGATGTAGACCCAGGAAGGAACCAGGAGGGCAGGCAGGAGCATGCAGCCAACCCCTGGGTGTACCAAATAGGTGAAAGGTGACATCTCAGTCTAAGACAGTATTCCCCTCATGGGAGTGAGCAGATGACCAGGTAGGTGGCCGTTGGTGACCAGGGCTGGAGCAGGCCTCTGACCATCTTCTTTCCTCCCTTCTAGATGTGGATGTCCTCCAGCGGCTGGGCCTCAACTGGACGAAGGCCGGGGTTGGGCGGAGCCCCACACCCCCGGGTGTTATTCCTTTCTCATCTGGTTTCATCTTCACACAGCGGGCCCGGCTGCAGGCCCCCACAGCTGCCATCCTTCCCACCACCCTGGGTCCAGAACTGGCACTGGTGCTGAGCCTCTGTTCACATCGTGTGAACCATGCCTTCCTGTTCGCTGTCCACAGCCGGAAGCATAGGCTGCAGCTGGGCCTGCAGTTCCTCCCTGGCAGGACACTTGTCCACCTGGGGCCCCGGCAATCTGTGGCCTTTGACCTGGATATGCATGATGGACGCTGGCATCACTTGGCCTTGGAGCTTCGTGGACGCACGGTCACATTGGTGACGGCCTGTGGGCAGCATAGGGTCCCCATCCCTCTGCCTTCACGTAGGGATACCACGCTCGACCCCCAGGGCTCATTCCTCTTAGGGAAGATGAACCCTCGTGCTGTCCAGTTCGAAGGTGCCCTCTGTCAATTCAGCTTCTACCCTGTGGCGCAGGTCGCTCACAATTACTGTGCCCACCTGAGGGAGCGGTGCCAACAGGTGGACACGTACCGACCCCAGCTGGGAGCCCTCTTCCCCTGGGACTCTGGCCCAGCCTTTGCTTTGCAGCCTGAACCAGCCTTGCTTGGCCTGGGGAACCTGACCACAGCTCCAGCAGCCCTTGCAGGCAGGGGATCCATGGTGACTGTGGCTCCTGTCACACCCACCAAGCCCTTGAAGATTAGCTCCCCAAGTGTTCCCCAGCACAGCTTCACCCAGACCCCACGGGCACCTGCCAAGCAGTTAGGCAGAAAAACACCTCTCTCCCCACCAGCTTCTCTGACTAGTACCACCAAAACTCCTCGTCCTGCCTCTGCTCGGCCACTGCAGATCACAGCCACCAACCCCACCAAACATCCTCTCACCAAGCCTCCAGCCTCTGCTCTTTTAGTTGCCCCTGTGAAAAGTCCTCACCCTACCCCCAAAACAGTTACCTTTTCATTCACAAAGCTAGTCCCACCTACCCAGAAGCTGGTGCCCCCCACTTCCCACCTAACACCTTCCAAATCCTCCAGTCCCACAGTGAGACCTGTCCAGAGGACCCTTGTGACACCCCGACCTCCACCACCCAGTGTTCAGCCCCTGCCTCCTACCGCCAGCTCATCCAGGAAGTTCACTGTTCCCATAGTAGTGAAGTCTGAGTCCAGAGGGACCACCTGGGCCAGCAAGCCAATCCAAGCCACTTGGACACCAGTTACAGTAATCCCTCCAGCCTTTGGCATCGGAACCCCTAGAACACGACCTTCCATCCGAGTCTCTGGTTCAACTTCCACTGGAAGCAAGAAACTCACTGGCTCCAAGGCCTCCAAGAAAGCAGGACCCAAGAGTACTCCCCGGACGCCTGTCTCCCTCAGCCCTGGGAAGACGGCTAGGGATGCCCCACCAAGCGACCTGACAACCAAGCCCAGTCAGCTGTCCACCCCAGCCCTGGTCCTTGCTCCAGCTCACCTCCTATCCTCCAGCCCCCAGTCCACCAGCAGCAGTTTTCCCTTTCTCCACCTGCCAGGCTCCACGCCTTTCCCAATGTTGGGGCCTCCAGGGCCAAAAGGAGACTGTGGCTTGCCGGTAAGATTGGGTGGGGTCTACATGCTACTTAGTATGTGAGTGGGTGACTGTGAGGCAGTTTGATCAAGAGGGCACCTCTGGTAAGAGCAGGAGAGAAGAGTCACCTTGGGGTAGGGAGCTGATTTGGGCCCTGATTTCTTGACTGCACTGTCTTAGAAGTTGTATGGCCTGGGCAGATTTGTGAGCTACTGGGGCAGAATGAGGCAGGAGCCACTGGGCTTTGGCTAACTCAGGTCCAAAGCCATTTGCTGCTAACCCAATGCAAGGGTCCTGTAGTTTAAGGAAAACCATGGCTGACAGGAGCTGCTCACTACAGTGAGCCAATGATCAGTCTCCACAGCCGTGCTTCTGGCTCCCACGTGGCCCCACTGGCCCCTGTGCTTGTCTGTGAGCTATGGACAGAGGTCCCGGATGAGTAGCTTGGGATGTATTTTGCTTGGCATGGGAGGCATTCTTTTTATAAAATCTAGTAATTACTAACATTGAAAAATGCAAGCGAGTTCTTAGGAAACTGTCTACTTGTTTCTCTTGAAGGGTGGGAGATATGGTAGCTCTGGGGTGGTCCCTTTAAATAGTGGCCTCTTCTCCCCACAGTCCCCAGGTCTCCCTCTTGGGTCTTCCTAGCAGGCCTTCTGCCGTTCATGTTACTTGCCTGGCTGGGCCCTATAGGCACTTGATTATCTGCCCTTAGAAGAGGAGTTGGGGATACGGAAGGTTCTTGTGGGCCAGAGGGAACAAGGAAGGACCAAAAGAAAGAGCATTCCATGGGCAAGGAATGGGCTGGGGTCGATGCCTCAGGCTCTCCTGGTCCATATTCAGAGCCAATGACCTTCCCCCTGCTGGAGGCCAGTTCATCTGAGTCAGGAGTGATGGGATGGAGCTTCTAGAAGACTCAGGCTCCTGCTTTGTCCTTGGTGATGTCTCCAGTTCAGTGGCCTCCATGTTCTTCCAGGGGCCAAGTCTCCCACTGGGCTCTGGGTTTGAGGGTCAGGCACCCCACAACGTGGAAACAGTGGCAGACGGGGGACTTCCTGGGTCTCGCAAACACATCTAATGAGTTTTAATAATCATTAGGAATAATATTTACCCAGCCTGTCTCCAAGGGGACGAGAGCCTGTCCTCATTATAACCATAGCATGGAGCTTATGGAAATAGTATACATTGCTTTGCAGTTAGGTCAGCACTGGGCTCAAGTTCCCTGTTGTTCTGAAATCGGCAGTCTGGAGTTTGGGAGCAACATGATCCTGAGGATGGGACAGGCAACCTTTGCACCTAGCCTGACCCTGGCCCAGGCACTCTTGGCCTGACAGCTCAGCTTCTTGAGCTGTGTGCTCAGGGCCCACAGGTCATGAGGTTAGAGGGAGGTGAACCATCGTCCTCTTCTGACAAGGGGTCCTGACTCTGGCTACATGGTGTACCACAGCTGGGTGGTGGAGGCCAGCCCATCCTCCCTAGGCCATGCCAGGTGTGGAGACAGGACAGGGCCATGCTTTTGGGGTGTGGGTTTTTTTAGCATGTAGGCTCTGCCTTTGGGCCTATTCTGTGCTCAAACCATGTCTATTTTCCCTGGGGTTTGGGGCTGTCAATCTCAACCTTCTGCATCATCAGAGAAGGCCCGGGAGTGGACCTGCTCAGTTTATGGGTGCTCAGAAGTCCTGCAGTTGAACCCAGTTGAATCTCTTCCTAGGGGAAGAGATTGGAGATTGCTCAGAGAGGACCAGCTCAAGGTTCCACAGCACATTGGAGACTGAGTTGAGGTTTAGACTCTAGGCTCTAAACTCTGAAACCATCATGTTCTATCTATCTAACCCTCAGCTAGGGGTCCATTTAAAGGCTCTGGGCTCAAGGTTGGCAGAAGGAGGCTTCAGAGCTAAGTTAGGCCCTGTTCTTGGACTTAGAGAAACACCATAGAATCTTATGTTCTGATTCAAGACAGACAGGTCAGTTTCACGAGCTTCCTCATGCCTGGAGTCTCCCTTTAGACCTTCATGAAAAGAGGGTGAGGAGACAGTGTGTACTAATCCTTCTGTGACAGATGAACAAACAGATGGGTGTGGCAAAAGGCTTGACTAAGGGTACCAGCATGTCCTGGGGTGCAGTTGGGGCCCCTGACCCCAGCCAAAGCCAAGGTTTTCCTGCTGGGGGGGACATCTTCACTGTCTCACTCCCCATGCCATCCCCAATCACCACCTGCCCTCCCTAGCTTGGAACCTAGCCTGTCTGCAGTAGGTACCAAGAAGCTACTAGAATCTTTGACCAGCATGTGGCAGGTGGCAGGCACAAGGCACACGGTCACTTCTTTTTTCCTAGATGTGAAAATAACAATGGAAGTGATACATTTGTGCAGTGGGGACATGAATACCCATCCTGTCCTCTCTTATCTCTCCTGACCCCCAGGATCTGAGGCCAACAGAGAGAGGCTGCTCTGTCTGCATCCAGGGATGCACAGTCCTGGGTGCAAATTCTGCCTCTGCCCCTTACTCGCTCTGAGCCATGTTCTGTTGCATGGGATGGCACCTTCCACCTCCCCAATGGGGGATGCTTGGAGAATTGGCAGAGGCATTATGCAGCAAGCTGTCTTAGGAAGGAAGCACGTAGGGCTGTGTACAGTGCCAGTGACTTTGGGGAGTTCTCTTGCTCCTTCCAAAGACTAGGTCCCCTCTATGATAGGCATTGGAGAGCAGTGTCTGCAGGGTGCTGAGCTGGGTGTGTGCCATGGATCTTGGGTGGGGGCATGAGGCTGCCTGCCAAGGCTGGGCTAGAGGTGTCTGAGGCCTGCCAGGAGTGGGAGCCTTAGAAAGGCATGTAGAAAAAGCTGAGCCCAGCAGGGAGGCCATGGTTCACAGAGCTGCACGGAAGTTGCATACCCAGGAGACCACTGACATTTGCACGTCCTTGTATTTCTCAGGTTACCTGGGGAGGTTGGGCCTGGCCTATAGCACTTCGACTATCTCTGACATGAATGAAGGAATTTGATCCTTATAAAGACCACATTGCCCTGATTCCCAGCCCAGGATGCTTGGAAGTTGGACTTAACTTCTCTACCAGGGGAATAACAAGGTTGTGTGGGCTACAAAAACGCATACCTTCTTCTGTATCCTGAATAACCTGGTGGAAAATCACTCCCTTATCTGGCTATCCTTTTATTCTTAGCCCAAGTCGTGATAAAATCCTTTCCAAATACTCAGTGCTGTATGACCTCTGGCAAATCACTCAGCCTCCATGAGCCTTAGTTTCTGCTCCTGTGGAATGGGGATGCGGTAGGACTTAGTTCTGCAGGGCTGTGCAGTTTTAGGAGGAACTTTATAAAGGTCTGGGCAGTGTAGAAGGAGCTAGCAGGGCCCTGTCATTACAGCTAGCTGTTACTTTTCACACCCAGTTGACCTCCAGGTAACAGGGGAGGGAAAGGAGGTACCAGAATCCAGTTGGAGCTGAATTCCTGAGCCTGGCCAGTGTGGCACAGCAGGGTTTGTCTGAAAGACAGCCTTCTCCCCTGTGGGTAGCCTCTTGCAGCAAGAGCTTCAAGGGCTTCCAACTGATCAGACCCCACCAGAAGAAGGAGGCCGGGATGAAGGTGGTGGAAGTTGGCTCTTGGAGTACAGAGTGAATCTGGGGGACCAAGGGAGTCTGAGTGGCTGGGTTCCTGTGGAGGAGTTGTGTTCCAACAGAGTCTGGAGTCTGGGAGCCCTCTGGACATTCCTAGGAGGTCTGAGCTCATCAGGGGACAGGCACAGAGCAGGGGCCCAGGGACCAGGAGGTTGTTGCTTAGGTCACCAGAAAGCAGCTGCCCTGGCCTGGACACAGATCTCATGGAATGCTTCTGCTTCCTGATCACCAGGGGAGATGCCAGCAGGTTTGATTCTTTCTGCAGAGCCTCACCACAGCTGGGTACAACAGAGGTCTTGTTCCAGTGCAGGGTTCCTTTGGGCTGGCTGTGGGAGGCCAGGACCCCTGGGGGGAAGCCCACAGAGCTGTTTCGCGTTTCCATGGCTCTGTGTGCGTGCATGCACCCTGTCCTGGGCCTGCTGTTCTCCCTGGACAGAGATAGGCCTGCAGCCCCCGCTGCTCCCCCGCCCTAGCCCTCTCAGAGGCCTCCTTGTTTGCAACGTGGAGTGGAAAAATCCCACCCCAGCCCGTGATTCATCAGGCTCCCCCCCGCCATCAGGCTGCAGGCCTGGAAAGAAACAGCAGCAATTTCCAGTGTGCAAAAGCAGGGACTCCAATAAAGCAGAGGGGTCAGGGCACCCACCCATGCTAACAAAGTGGGCACTGAGTGGGCGTGGGGCAGGTCTGCAGCTGGGCCGGGTGACTGTGACCGTGGTCCCTGACTGATGGGGTGGAGGGGCAAGCCAGATCCCAGCTGGGGGCCTGGGTTGCTGTGTGGAAAGCAAACCACCAGCCCCAGCTGTGGGTCTCAAGAGGCAGTGGGATCTGCTGAGCAGAGGCACTGGATGAGGTCACACTCTGGCCTAGGCACCCTCATAGTTGAGGCAGAAGGAATGTGAGGAGGGTGCCTCCAGACGTCTGTGGTCTATTCTGGCTTCTGGCCTTAACTTTCTGGAAGATGGGCGTGGTTTTACTAATCCCCCACCTGAAAATCCCCAACTGCCCTATAGCTCAGGGTTATATGCCAGTACCTAGAAAGTTGGTGGTGTTCATTTCCCAGGTGGCCACACAACAAGAGACTTAGCCCTTGCTTAGACACACGGTTAGTCAGAGATACCCCTCTCCAGCATTGTCTGTGAGGAAGCTGCCCAGAGTAGAAAAGTAAGCTCAGTAGTTGGTTCTGAATTTGAGTCCAGTCTCTGTTTCCTATAGGCTGTGTGGCCTTGGGCAAGTCACTTTACCTTTCTGAGCCTTCTTTGGTTTATTTATCCTTTGAAAGGTCTCAGTGTACCTCCAGCAGTGCTTAGCCTCTCCCTCTGATTCTGGCTCACCTGGGAGAATTGAGCCAGGGAGGGCCTTCTCTTGAAAGACACTGCTCTCTTCCCAAAACAGTAGCGAAGAGGTGTGTGTGGCCTAGACTGTTCAGTGGGGACAATCCAGGGGCTTGCCTGACAGAAATAACAGCTCCTATTATTTGAGTATCAACTTTGTGCCAGGCACAAGGATTAGCATGTTTTATAGATTATCTGTGGCAACTGGCTAGTATTATCCTCATTGGACAGCCATGGAAACGCAGGCTTAGAGAGTGACTGGAGCAGGTAGAACAAAACCACCCTGCCAACTAATAGGGTGATAAGTTCCTGTGAGCCCCCTGTCCGATGTTGTACTCCAGAGGAGAGGAAGAGGGCCTGGCTCCAGTCCCAAACCTGAAGGTCAGGACTGAGGAACAGTTTGTCCACCCTATCTCAGAGGATGAGGGGAAGGCTGTCAGCTGGGTCAGAGACACCTAGATGCACAGAGGAGGTGGGAATGTGCCTGAGGCCACATATCACACCTCCTCCCTCTCCTCGGGCTCCTGTCCAGTAACTGTGGACTGTGGTAGTATCTAACTGTCCAGATCTGGGCTGTGATTCTTAAGCCCATGGTGTTCACAGGCCAGAGTGCCAAGCGATGCTGAGCAGGGCTGCCCAGCATGAGCAGGCTCTGTTGCCAGCCAGAGAGAACTCAGTTTTCAACACCGATTCTAACTCTGGGCAAGGAACCTGGAATCTTGTGGATGGTTATTTGAAACAAATGAATTCCCAGGCCTCGCACTCCTCGAAAGCCTGGCTTCCTTTGAGGGCTTTGGGCTCAGTCCCTCACGCGCATGCTGGCTAATCTCATAGCCTCATTTGGGGTAGTCGGGACAGTGGCTTGCTCTTCTCATTTTAAAGGGAGCAGCTGAGACCTGGGTAGGTGGAAGGAATCACACAAAGTCCCAGCATTCAGGGGTAAATCAACATGAAAACTAAGTCCAGCCTGTGACTTAGTAAGTCTGCTGGCTGCCTTGCTTCCTGTGAAGGGAGCAAAAGGTGAGGCAGGTGCTTCTGAGGTACCATGCTTCAGGGCCAGGGACATGGGGAGCCATTAAATGTGGTGGAGGGGGACATGCCTCGGGCAGGTGGATTAGGCTATATGGGGGATTACAGGGGGAGGGAGTGGAAGCAGGGAGATCCATAGGGGTTTGTTACAGGTTCCTGGGGAGTTGTGTTGATGGCTGGGTCCCATGGTGTGCCATTTGAGTGCAGGTTCTGGTATGTAATGCAATAGACACACACCCTCTCTTCAAGGTACTCTACAAGGATGATTGTCCTCCTACGAGCCTCAGGCTGCCAGTCAAGAAACTTGGCCATGCCTAGCTGCTGAGTTGGGCAGTATAGAGATTTGAACTCAGGCCCAGATGAACCAAAGCCTTAGCTTGTGCCCTTTTTTTTTGCTACACTGCCTCTCTGGTACAGGATGCTTGGTGTGACCTTGGCCAAGTCCCTTTTCTGCTCTAGCTCTGCAGAGAACTTGGCTATAATCTCTGAGGCTTCCTGCTGTTTTGTTATCAGACATTTGGCTGAGCCCTGGATGTTGAATGATTCATCTTCCCTTAGTGCCTTTGACAGTCTGCCATTTGCAGAGAAAGCCAGCACTCCAAACAGATAATTCCCCAAAGAAAAAGAAGAAGGTCAGAGAACTTGGGGCAAGGGTTAGAGAAGGCTTCCTGAAGGAGGTGACAGCCTAACAAGTTAGCTGAGTAATCAAAGACAGGCCTTCAAAAGCTGGTAAAGAATAGAGGTTATTTCTAGAAGGCCAGAGAACACCAATAAGCATGAGTCTCTCCAGGGCAGGGAACTCAGCAACCCCTTCACCTCCCCATAGCCATGGGATTTCTGTGCCCAGACCGTGCAGGATTGTTAAATGACTGACTGACTGACTGATCCCATTTTCTGATGTCCCTCAATATTGTCTCACACTGTCTTCTTGTTTCCTCTTCAGGGTCCCCCTGGGTTGCCAGGGATACCTGGACCTCCTGGTGCACGAGGTCCTCGGGTAAGTGATCATGTGCTGTTCTTTTGGGTTCTAGGTAACTCAAGCTTGCATCAGGCTGCTGGTGAAGCCCCAGCTTGCTGTGACCCACAGGCCCTTCCCTGCCCCTCTCTGTACCTGTTTTCCATTTTGGCTGTTGAAGGTGGACATGGCATGGGACAATGATGGCATCTTGGGAGGGGGGTTCTGTAAGTCCCTTGCTTGCACCACCCTTTGTGAGAAGGAGCTCCAGAAGTCTGTCTCCCCGAATCGATGGGCTTTGCTGTTTGTTCAGGAAAGCTGCCGATTTGAGGATGAGACTCCGAGATCCTTGGGTATCTCCTCCCACCTCTGCCCATCAGTTTCAGGGTGGAGATCTGACATGGCAGTCAAATGGCCATTGAAGAGGGCTAAGCTCCCAGGAGAGAGGCTGGGGGTCAGCTGGGCTTCAGTGGCTGCTAGGACCACAAGCCTCCAAGTGCCGAACACTTCTGGTAACTGCCCGTCACTTTATGCCATCTGTGTGGCCAAACCCAAGCTAGAACCTCTGTGGGCCAGTGTGGGCTTCTTCACTCAGGAATGGGGTGGGAATAGCAGTTCTGGGACTGGAGCCCAAGATTTCCCCAATGCTGGGACCCTGGGGTTCTCTGGGAGGGAAACCTGTTGTTCCCCGAGAGGGCTGGGCTAGTGACACCCATGTTCATGCTCAGGCTGATTCAGCCTTAGCCTCGCCAGGGGCCTGGTGAACTCCAGAGGAAGAAACTGCCCTGGAGGTATTTTTAGCTCTGAGCCCAGCCAAAGGTTTTGGTTATGCAATTACTTGGACCCTGGTTCTCTCTAGACCTGGCTGTGTTCTCCTAGATCAAGGGCTATGGAACCTTCCATTTTACCCAACTTTTCTCTTGGCTACAGAGCTTCCTGGAGTGCATGCCCAGAACTGGGGACCATGATTGTGTTAGGACCCTGCCCCTTGACCTAGTGTTCCAGGTCTAGGCAATCTGACCCTTGTTCCCAGATTGCCCTGTGTCCCCAGTCCTCTGCTCAACGTCTTCCCCAAGGAGGGTCTCCTGTGCAAAGGTCTTCTGTGCAAAGTCTCAATCATATGCCTCCTGTTCTGATGACCTGCCCCTCCTCCGAGCTTCTCAGCAGCTCACCTGGCACACACCACACTTCTGGAGGTCTCTTAGCCACTGAATTCTGTTGGCTGGCCCCATTAACATGACCTCGACAGTCCTCCCAACCAGCCTGGGAAATAGGTGCCAGTATTCTCCCTATTCAACAGATGAGAAAACCGAGGCTCAGAAAGGTACAGCTCCTTTGAATAAAAGTTAAAGCAAATGCCAGAGCCGGTCTGAGCCCAGGCAGCCTGATTTCACCGCTTGCTCACGTACTGAGCATCCATTGTGTTCAACCTGGCCCCAACTGGAGAGAAGCCTTGCTGGCTTCTCCATCTATGCTATCTAGGAGAGGGGCCTCACAAGAATCTCAACAAGAACTCTAGAAGTCCCACCAGAAAGCTGTGTTGATCGTCGGCAAGTCCTGCCCCCTCATGAACATGCTTCAGGCTCCCTGCCTGAACCCCTCCCCTCCCCCTGGTCAGCCTGTGTCTACACTGAAAATTCCATGAATCCTAAAATTCCATAGCTAGTGGAATGTTCCTTCTGTTAAATAACCCTGGTGCCTCTATATACACAGTGACTCTGGGCTTGGACAGGAGGGCCAGGGTCCTACCTGAGGTCAACCCAATGCCCTGTGGCCCTGCATTCTCTACTTCCCCAGGCAGCAGAGGGACTGGGAATCCCTGAGCCCCTCAGCCATATTCCGAGAAGCTGCATTTATGGAATCCGTCTGCTAGGCAGCTTGTCAACTATGTGCCTCATTTCTCTGTGAGGCAGTGGCTAGAGAGGGTGTGGAAGGTGCACATGGGCCAAGTGAACCAACAGAGCAGAGGCAACCCACCCTTGACCTTGAGAGCCATGCCTGGCCCTGAGGGAGATGGACTTCAGGGGCTCCCCTCAATACCACCCCCCTGCCTGAGCCTGAATTCTTACACCCCAAGAACTTGGACAGGGCAAGCATGTGAGCTTAGAGAGCCTTAGGTTTTAGGTATTCATAGGACAGATAAGGAGGACTGAGACTGGGGGCAGGGTGTAGACCTAGTGAGGTTCAGAACTGGGTCCAGATTCTGACCTGTCTAGGTTCTGTCCCTGGGCTGCTGGGAGGGGACAGGAGGGCCACACGTGGCACTATAGATTTCCCAAACTGAGAACGGTTTCTGGACACTGTTTCTTCCTGCTGTGCTCATGGAAGGGGAAGGTTCCAGTTAGGCATTGATAAAGGAGGTGGTGCTTTGGAATGTGACAGGCTGCAGCTGGGAGGATGGCTTCCAGGGAGGAAGGAAGCAGCTCCAATACACAGCTAGCTAGATGAGCTTCCAAGGGCCTACCCTAGGCTATTAAGAGCATGGTGGGGCCAGGGACCAGTGAATGCCTAGATACCTCTTCCTATCCTGTCTAACCTTGACTATTGCTCCTGGGAAAAGGCCCTGGGGTATGACCTGCCTCTGTGGGTTTGTGTTGCTGGAGTGGAAGCCTGCAGATGGGTTTTTGCTGGAAGAAATAGATGTGAGAGAAATCAGTTGTCAGAAGGACCTGGGAGACAGCTTGGGAAATACAGTGCCATAAATAAACCAAATTTGAACCCAGCATCCAAGGGCCCCACTCTTGCACGGCCACCCCTCTACAATGTGACTTTGACTAAGTGACCTTGAACTATCTGGGTGCATCTTTTAGGCAAGTCTAGAATATACTGCCTTGGAGTCTGTGGCCTAAAGGAGAAACTTGACCTCCATGTAGGAGGGTGCCCTTGTTCACGAGGGGCCACACATACCCTCCACAGAGTCCCAGTTCAAAGGCTCTGTAAAAGTCCACCAGAGAGGCCATTTTGGGCAGAGCAGTTTCCTGGAGGAGGTGGCCTCCAAGTCAAGCCTTGAAGTTTCTGCTCAAAGAATGGATGGTCATAACATGCTGGATGGCTGGTGGGGACAGCGGGGCCAAGGAGAAAAAATACCTGAAAGTTGGAGAGAAATTGGAAAGGAGAGAGTAGTAAGTAAGTGTGGCTCAAGCTCAAGGCTGTTGTGCAAGTATAGCATGTGGTGTAGGTTCATAGCCAAAAGGCATGTCCCGAGCTCTGACAGGTCTGGGGTCAAGGGCACCTCTGCTTCTTAGCTGCCTGGTCATCTGAGACAACAACTCTGAGTGCTGGCTGCCTCATCTTCCCAACATGAGTAATGCTTGCATTTTCTTGGCAGGTGACCTACTTGGCAGGTGAATGGGACAATGAGATAAGGCATGGGGCAAGCTGATGCAGGCCCAGAATCTTGGGGATCCCCCCTCAGAGGAGGTTGAGGCCTCAGTGGTGCTGCTAAGCTGGGGATCAGGAGATGGCGCAGGCAGTGTTGTTGGAAGTGGGGTGTTCCTATTCTTTCTCACCTCTTATTTCTCTTCCAGGGTCCTCCTGGGCCTTATGGGAACCCAGGCCTACCCGGCCCTCCTGGAGCCAAAGTGAGTATTTGTTGTGGGGCCTGGAGATGTTGCTATGGGGTGGCACTGGGGTCAGATACTTGGGGTATCTCTTAAGGGTTTCTGGCATCTTTATGAAGGATTCCCTTCCAGGTCAGAGATACCCTAGCTCCTCCTGCAGTCCACTCTACACTGGGGCTAGTTGTGTGGTTCAGAGCTATGGGGTTGCTCGCTTTTGGTTGGAGAGATGGAATGGCAGCAACTGGGACCTGGAACCCTCAAGGAGTGGGTAGAAGGGCAAGCTGGTGCTCCACAGAGACAGCCTTGGCCTTAAATGTCCACTAAGGACATAAGAGGTACCAAATTGTGAGATGCACCCTGGTGGGGCATGGCAGCTTTAAATCGGGAGGGATGTATAAAGATGAAATTTTAGAATACTGCTAGATGTGATGGTCAGGAGTGAGGACCAGGCTGAGGCAGGGAGATAGTGGTGACACTGAAATGGGGTGCAGCCTAGGGGGCAGAAGAAGTGGGGGAAGAGAGGATGGAGATGGGAGGGAGACAGGAGATGGGGATTCCCTGGTATTGGCCTGAGTGACAGCCCTGAGGCCAGGAACAGGACTGAGATGGCATAGTGTGAACCTGTAACCCAGCCAGGGGAGGTAACTCATGGGAGAGCCCTGAAACTTAGAAGTGCTCTGAGCTGGAGATGGAGTGGGTATGGGGGCCAGCACAGGGCCACTGTGTCCCTCAGGAGCCCTCCTGGAGTACTTGGGTCACAGCTGGGCCTCTGATGATGGTGGAAGTCTAGTCACTGAGCTCCTGCTCAACAAAGGTTAAAGTTGTAGGGCTGATAACCCAGGGGTGGTGGCACGCACCTTTAATCACAGCACTTGGAAGGCAGAGGCAGGTGGATCTCTGTGAGTTCAAGGCCAGCCTGGTCTGCATAGTGAGTTCCAGGCCAGCTGGGGCTACAGGGAGACCCTGTTTCAAAAAAGAAAAAAACCAAAAGAAGAAAAGAAAAGAAAAGTTGTAGGGCTGATTCGTGGAGTGAGTGGCTCTAAGAGTGCTTGGGGCAGCAACATTCAAGTCACGGGGAAGTCTTGGGAATGTCAGAAGAGGGAAGTAAAAAGACCAAGGAAGACATGAAGTTAAGAGAACCACTCACCAGTGTGGGCAGGCCAGTAAGAGAAAAGGGCTCCCCACCTGCAGGCCTCCTCACCCCTAGGCCTCCCTGCCGTACCTGTGCCAGCCACGAGGTAACCATGTGAAGAACAGCCCTGAACTTTGGCTGGCTGGGGTGCAGGGCCATTCTTTGCTAAGCCAAATACAAAGATCAATGGCTTAAGGGAAGTTTTAACTTTTGGGCCCAGGCCACACTGAGTAAGCAGTGATTTGCCCTCCAAAGCCGAGCCCTCTAGACTCACAGAGTGACTCTGGCTGGCCCGTCAGCTTCTCTTAGGGTTGAGGATGAAAGCTGTATTTGGGGAGCCCTGGGCATACTGATATACAGGACTGGTATCCCATGCCAGAATCCTTGCACAGAACCAAAGGAACACTTCCTCGGCCCTCATAGGTCTGTGACTCTGGCCAGGCTGGGCTGTGGCCCCTTCTTAGAAGGCAGGCAATGGGGCCCTCAGGGATCCCATCCTAGTAACCTCTGGGGTGCCCAGGGTTCTAATGAGGCTAACACTGGGGTGATCACCACCATGTATTGCACCCCCTCTGTGCAGGTGTTGCATAATGTCCCACCTTATTTACTTATCTCATTTGATCCCATGAAGACCAGAAAGATGACTGTGGATTGTACCCATTTACTCATGAGGAAACTGAGGCACAGGTAAATGAAGGCCCAGTGCAGACACCTGTCCCCATGGGTGGGGTAGAGAGGGAGTCAGCAGCTGTCTGGACAGCTGAGTTTGCCCTTGGCCTGCTTCCTCCCTCACGGTCCTTTCCTTCTAGGAGGATGCTCCATCGGCTCCCTTCTTGCCTGGCTGGCTCTGGTCACTATCTGAGTACTGTAGGCAGGCCTTAGCTCCAGGCCACTGGCAGTCTACCCCATCCTGCCCACAGATATGCCACATAGCAGGAGGACCTCCCAGTCGCTCCCTAAATGGAAGATGTGGCACTGAGGCTGGTCTCTAGCTACTAAGTCCTCCTGCCACATGAAGCACATTACAGCTTGGTTGACTGAGCCCCAAGGTCATTCTCTGCTAACCCTAATGTGGCTTAATGCAAACCAGTTGAGACTGGCCCCGGGCCATTCAGGATATGAATGTACTACAGCAGAAGGGTATGAGTTCCAGAGAACACCCTGCCATGAGAGGCTGCTCCTCAAGGCTACTGGGACTTGTACAAAACCATGGGCTGCAAGGCAGAGGTCATGCCCTTTGCCTGGATGCAGGGACGGAGCAAACTGGCTGTGACAGAGTTCCCAGTGTGCTGGGTTTGACCCCAGTTGTCCCTAATCTCAAGTGGTGTTGTCCAGTAGCGTTCTTCTCCCTGGAGGGAACTGGTAGCTTGGTTGGGATTGTAGGAGAAAGTGTGTCTGTCTCAGTGGGTGGGAGTCTGTGGAGAGGGTCCCCATTGCTCACCAGAGCCCTTTTGGGCCCAGGGAGGTAACCTGGTGGGATCCCAGGGATGGCATCACCTGAGCCCAACACTTAGCTCACTCTCTTGTTCCGGTATGGTGTTGAATCCCAGAGTTCCTTTGGGATCTGCCCATCAGGTCATCATCCTTGGTTTACTGAGGACCTACTATGTGCTGTTGATAGCTGTGATAGCTGTGGTGGCACCGAGCCTGCCCTTGGCCTGTCTGTGGGATAAAGATCTCCCACCAGCCTCTAGGATGGGGGTAGACAGGGACAGAGGAAAAGGAGAAAAGGGAGAGAGGAGAGGGGAAGAGTCTTCATCCTTCAGGAGGATCAGAGGAGTGAAAGACCAAAGAACCAAGATACAGGCTGGGTCCTGTGTTCAGACAGAAGGGCTACATGCAGGATCCTCCTGTTTGCCTGTGAGGGGAGTCTTGTCTGGGCTCCACTGCTGGTCCAGACTAGACCAGGCACCAGCAACTCTGCCTCCTTCAGAGCCCTGGCAGGAAGAATACTCATCAGCTTCCTCCTAGACGAGATCAAGGGCTCTGAGTGCAGTACTGAGGAACTGTACCCTGGAGGGTAGTGCCATCCGACCTGGGTGGCTCAGGGCACAGTCACTGTGAATTCATTTATACTCATCAGTCAGTGATTGTATTTCAGAAAATAACAGACTTTGAAGCCTGGTGACCCAGGTTCAAATTCCTAGCCCTGTTACTCCTAGTTCCATGACATTATTTGAACGTCCTGTGCCTTAGTTTCCCCACCTGGAAAAAGGAGGAATTAGGGCAGCCACCCCCAAGTCATTGTGAGGAGTATCTGAGTTGTCTGTTTGTGTTGGGCAGGGATGCCCCTTCAAAGAGTGATGGGCTTATCTCATGCCAGACAGGGCCCAGAATGGAATGGTACTGCCTTTGAGGAGTGCAGAGGCCAGCAAGAAAGAGAACAGCCCCTCACACTGATCATTGATGGAGAATGATGCCATGGTTAGGGTTCTGGGCTCCATGTGCGCTGCCTAGGCTCTTGGGAAACCCCATGGAGTGGGACTAATCTGGCCTATGAGGTGAAGGAGTCATTCCCTGAGGGCAAGAAGGTTCAACCAGTGTCTGTAGAGGCAAAGAGGCAGAAGGAGGCTGGGAACATTTGGGGCTTTATCCAAGAGGCAACCAGAAGATAGGGAAGGGCTTGAGCGGCAATGAGGTAGAAAGGTTCAAGAAGCAGGATTTGGCTCAAGGTCCATGGGGCAGTCTGGTGCTGCCCAGGGCAGGCATGATATAGACAATAGGGAGTCAGGTATTGGTGCTAGGCCCTGGGTGGGAAGTCAGTAATGGGTGGGCTTCTGCCTTCATGGAAGCTGGACTCTACTGCTGGGCCATGAGGCACCTGTCCCCACTTACAGATAGCTTGTCACCCTGTCCCTGATCTGGCCTAGTGAGTTGGTCAGGGTAGCTGTGGGTCCTAGGGCACTATGGAAGCACAGGGATTCAGAACTGACCGAGAGTGGGATGGAGACAGCTCTATACAGCTCTTAGGCCTGGCCCAGCCTACCCTCCCCTTTTCCACGATGACTGAGGTGGGATACATTCATTAAGGCAAACATAGAAAGTCTGGAAGGAATGGAGAAGAAGGGAAGCCACCTACAGTGGCCCTGTCCAGTGATAAGAACTGAGAGTATTGGGAGCAGGAATGCACAAATACCTTGGAGAGCTGTCCTTGCCTTGTGGCGCAGATGTTATCACTCCATTTTATAGGAAGGAAACTGAGGACCCAAGTGTCACATTTCTAGTGGTGGCAAAGCCAGATTCCCAGAGTCTGACACCAAATCTTGGACACAGAGTCACAAGGCATTTTCAGCCTCCTGCTCTTGACCTCTCCAGTACTCCGTGTGTGTGTCTTATGTGTGATGTGGTTTCCCTCACAGGCTTCTGGGTAGCTTTCCACACTTAGTGCTCCATGGAGGGTATTCCCTGTTGTGAACATTGATTCTGCACATGTGTTTTGAGGGCCGGTGGCATCCTATCAGAATTCTTATCCCATTTTCCCCAGGACCACTTTCCTTTTGCAAAGCTAGATTTGCTAATACACATGCATTATATTGAAGAATTTTGCTGTACATAAATGTTGGAATATCTAATCATTTCATCAGGACAAATTCATAAAAACAGTTACCAGCATGAATTCGAACAAGCGGGCCCCATTTTGAATGCTGGTTCCTTCTACCTGCTGGGTATATGAAGCTGAATAGACCTCAGCTCCCACTTTTGCAAAAGGGGGTAACAGTTCACACCTTGTGGGATGCTGGGATTGAGTTAAGTGTGTTTGCATATGTCAAGATAAACAGAGGTGTATGCAAGCAAACGTGAATAATATATACCTTACCTTGTATATAAAAGCTGTGTGGTGTCTAGCTGTTAACTTAGTAGCTGCCGTCTGGAGAGGCTGAGCTCATGTTGTGGTAGCAGTAGATGAAGATACTGAAAGAACGTAAACAGTGCTTTTGCTGATCACCTATGATGTGCTTTTCTTACGCCTGTTTGAATCTGTACTTTACCATTTACGGATTGTTTTGCTTTGGGACCAGGCTGACCTCAAACAGAGGTAGATAGATTACCTGCCTCTGAAGCTTGAGTTTTGGGATTAAAAGCATGAGTCACCACACTTGACAAGTTTCATCCTTTTTGTAAAAAAATAACAATTATGGGACAGGGAGATAGCTCAGTCAGTAAAGTGCGTGGGGAATCCATGTTAAAAGAAAGCTAGGTGTGGGGGTGCATGATGGTAATCCTTACACTGGAGAAGCGGACTCAGAAGGATTCTTGGCTTGCCGGTTTGGTGAAATCTAGGCCAGAGAGACCCTGTGTCAAAACAAAACAAAAAAGATGCATGGCACCTGAGAAATTATAGCAGAGGTGTCCTTTGCCTACACACACACACACACACACACACACACACACACACACACACACTCAAAACAACAATAGCAACAATAGTAACTTTTTTTAGGAACTTAAAATGTGTCAAATAGCTTTGAAAGGGTACTATAGACTAACACTACTGGTTAGTCTAGCTCTTTTCTTTTTAATTATAAAATTTTTTATTATTATTGTGTATGCACACATGTATGCCATGGTGCCTGTGTGGAAGTCAGAGGACAGCTTTGTGGAGTCAGTTCTGTCCTCCCACTTTTACATGGGTTCCAGGGATTGAACTCAGGCCATCAGGCTTGCACAGCAAGCACCGTTACCCACTGAGTCATCTTGCCACCACTCCCCTTCTTTGTTAGTGCTGGGAACTCAACCCAGAGTCTTATGCATGCTAAGCTAAACATGTGCTCTGTCACTGAGCTACATCCCCATTCCTGCTTTGTTTTCCCTCTTGGAAGTTTCTTCTTTTCCTTTCCAATGTTCAGATCAGATACATATTCACTCTTATTCCTGATCATTTCATAATATCATTTCTCTCTCAAACTTTTTAAGCCATCTGGAATCGATTTTAATGGGGTTTAATGGGGTTTAAACAACCTTTGTTGCAGTGATTATTGTAGGGTGGTCTGAGGTCTATCTCAGGCCATTCCATTGTTTCATTGCTGTTTGTCCATTTGTTTATCAGTGAAATACAGTTCATATGACGTTTACTACTTCTGTGTTGTATATTTTGTGTCTCTGTAAAGAATTAGCATCTTTAAAATATTAGGTTTTCCTATCTACATACATGGTAAGTGTCCCCATTTGGTTGAGGGTTTTAAGCTTCTTTCAATAAACTTTTATAGTTTTTATTGCATAATTGCCACACATTCTTATTCTGTTTTTACTTAGAAATTTAGTGATTTTCTTGCTGTTATGTTTGGAATACGCTTCTTCCCTATTATACTTTCTGTTGGCTCTCAGTCACTAAAGAAAACTTTTTATTTTTGTATCTAATTTATAACTATACCCTTTCTCCCTTTGCTGAATTATATTATCTGCTCTACTAGTGTTTCAGTTCATCCTTCTGAATATTCTGGACAGGCAGCCATGTGGTTTGCACAGAAGGACATACTTTTGTTTCCTCCTCCTATTTGTTTTTCCTACCTTATTGCATTGGCCAGCACTTCTAAACCCATGAAACAGTAGTAACCACAAGGGGAATCTTCAGAAGAAGTTCCAGGATGGGGCCAGATGTGGCCTCTGCTTCTCTTGGACTGCATTTGCTTATTCATGAACTGTTTCATGGTGCCTCCTCTGGGCCAGGCCCAGTGGTGGGCACTTGAAGACTGAGAACCCTCGCTTCTCTACTTTCCCAGCCCTACCCACAGGGAAGGAGCCCAGCATTTCATTACCACCATGTTCTTAGCTCTCAAGGTTCATGCTTTACCTTCCTAGATAGTCTTCTTGGCTGAAGGCTCTGCAAACTTGTCCAGGCAGAGACCACCACGTGACTTGTTCCTGGTTACATATGCTCACTGGGTTCAGAATTAGGTCTTGTCCTCACCAAGGTATATTGTTGTATCTCTCATTGGTGCCTATATAGGAGCCTAGCTAGGAAGTAGGTGTGTTCAGTTCATGGTCCACGAGTGGCAGGCCACCAAGGATAACTATGAATACAACCCGACACAACTGTAAACTCACTTAAAAAAGATTTTATGAATCTTTTGGTAACTCATTTGCATGGATCTCAAGCATGAACTTTGTAGATGACAATGTTGTATTGTAATGTCAAAAGGTTGGGCATGCCTAAATCATAAAATCTCCATCCTGGAAGCCATCCTTTGTCTAAGCAGGGGTACCTTGAGCTGGCCCTCCTTGTCCTCCTCTATCTAGCCCCAGCTTAGCTGCAACTCATTCACTCATTCTAGGATTTACCTACATTCAGGGGAAGCTCTCCACCTCCTCCTGCACTCCACTTATCACTAGAGTGTAGATTTTTACCACACCATGCTGAAATGTAGAGCTTTGCTCCTAGACTTCCTGAGCTAAATCCCACTACTGGCTGTCTGACCTTGAACTAATGGTAGCTCCTTACTCGGCCTTCATTCCTTCTTCTCTAGGGTGGAGCACATGAATGTTGCTCCTTTATAGATTAGGAAGTTAAAATGAGCTAATATGTGTATAGGGCTTAAAAGAATGCTCCCTAAACATTAGGCTGTTAGGACTAGTCTCTGGCTTTTCTCTCCCCCAGAGGCCAGAGGTGTATTTTATTTTCTACCATGACATTCCCTGTATTCAACACCACACCTGGCTTGTAGTGATTGATCATCCTCATTAGTCTCCATGGACAGGGACCACATCCAAGCACAGAATGTATCAAGAAATCCATCAGTAATAGAAGAGTCCTTGCCAGGAGCCCTGACCAGGGAGTCAGTCTGTCCTGCCTTTGGGGTTCAATCTCATTTTGTGAAATGACAAGTAAGGTTCACAAAGACCCACCCCTGAGAGCTTTCCGTGGTAGCTCCTCTCTTGACTACAGACCATGGTGGGCATGATGAGGTGAAGAGACACTTTGTTTTTTTTTGGCCACAGGAATTCTGGGTAGTTGGTAGCCTAGGTCTGGCCTTGCAGCATAGACATAAAAAGTATAGAACTGGGCTCCTGAGCAGCTGAGGATGGGAGAGTGTCCCAAAGGGGTGGCTATAGTGCATCCAGAGGTGGGTTCTACAAAAGTGACTGGGGGACTCAGATAGGGACCTAGCAAAGAAGGGCTAGTCTTCAACTTGGGGCAGCTGGCTGGAGGGCTGGTACTGTTGCTGGGGAGTGGCAGAGAGAGAGGAACCTCAGGCTGTAGACAGTTGCTTCCTGCCTGCCTGCTGGGTCAGCTGGGGCTCTGATGGCTTCTCTAACCAGAGAGTTAGTATATAGAGCTGCTTCACAGTGTGAGTGAATAGAGCAGAGAAAGAGATTCTTCCCAGCTCAGAAAGACATGGTTTCTGGTGGAGATGGACCAAGTTACAATTTGGGAGGTCTGAGTTCTGACAAAGGAAAGACTTAATGGGAATTAGATACATTTGGCCTAGCTACCCTTCCCATGTGTCCGAGCCATTATTCCACTGGCCCCTTGCCTAGAAACAGAAGCCAGTGTGTGCATGTGTGTGCATATAGGTTACATGGCCCTTGTTTAAAAGTGAGAAAACTGAGGCTCAGCGAGGGGAAGGCCCTGGGATCCTGCTGTGAGTCTGTGGCAGGCCTAGGGCTTGCACATCAGTCAGGACTTCTGACTCCGGGTACACTGAGGCAGGGGAGGTAAAGGGGCTCGGACAGAGGGGATGGGGATGGGGATGGGGTTGAGGATGGGGATGGCGATGGGGATGGGGATGGGGATGGATTGGGAGCTCTTAGCAGCTGATTCAGTGGGAGTTCCTTTTTCATTCCTGTGAGATGCAGCCAGTGAGCTCCATGGCCCTCGTGCTAGGCCAGCTTTTGGGAGCCAGGATCCTTATTTGTGACAGGACCGTCATGTATTGCCAGCACAGGCAGTGCTTGCCCTGACTGGGGACTTTCTACCTGCCACTTTTGCTCCAGTGCATTGCCCTTGTCCAACTGGTGGGACCCCAGGGCATCTGCAAACACAGATCTGAGAGTCCTGCTTCAAGGGTCTAGTCTAAGTTCTGGGTGTGCCTGGGTCCCTGACAGCCCCTGACCTCAGTTTCCCTGAATGTATTATGGGGTGATAGCACTCTCCCTGCTTACCCCTCAGCCTAGAGTGGGAGCCTAGAGTGATGTGTGGTAAAGGGCTGTAGGCAGGTGTGAGCGCCCCTCAGTGTGTGATCTGCAGGTCTCTGGAGAGCAAGGAGGCAAACAGCTTTTTGAAAAATTGAGGAATCTAGGTGGTAGGAAGTACAAGCTGTAGCTAGGGGGTGGGTGGGTGTGGCCTGGTGAGAGCAGAGATGGGTGGACGGTGTGGGGGAGATAGGGGTGATGACCAGTGAACACAACATGACACACGAGAACATCTTTGGGGGCTTGGCTGGTGACAGGAGAGTAGAGTTTGGTCAGTCTGGAGCCAGATCATGGAACACTGGGGACACTAGAGGGAATCTGGAGTCATGTAGCCAGTGGGAAGCTATGGAAGGTGTTGGAGCAAGAAAGTGACAGAATTGGGGGCATAAGTGGGGAAAATGGACTAAACAGGGAAGAAGGCTGCAAGCAGAGTCTATGGGGAGACACCTAGAGACGACTTGGTGGCCAAAGCAGACTTGTTTTTATTTCAGGGACAGAAAGGGGACCCGGGGCTCTCTCCGGGACAGGCTCACGATGGGGCGAAGGTAGGTTCCAGGGGCCCCAATGCTCAGGGGAAAGGGTAGCAGATAGTGATGAGCCCCTATCCCTCAAAGCCCTCCTGGCAGAGACTATGCATGACCCAGGAGGTGAGATGTCTAGACAAGTGGGTATGGTTTGGTGCATTCTTTGAATCCTCTGATGGCTTTCTGCAAGCTAGGTAACCCTAGAATCCAGAGGTTTCTTGGTGTGCAATGTCCAGGAAGCTTCCAACAGACCCTCAAAGCGCCCCCTGCAGTTGCTCACTGGAGCAGACAGATCTGGTGTTTACAGAAGGCAGGAAGGGAAAGGGCCAGGTACTCAGAACTCTGTAGCTTCCAAGAGCCATGGGTTTCTTATGGAATAGAAAACACTTGGGCCAAAGAACTTCCTTCATCTCCAAAGCATCTGTGTCCTGACCGAGGAAGGAAACTGGAATGAGGGCTGAGTTCCAGCATGCCAGTCACAGGCCTGGCATGTCATACTCTAGAGGAAAGCTCAGTTCTGACTAGCTTCCTTCTGGGCCTTGAGAGCAGGACTGAATCTCTATCCAGCTTCTGGGTGTGGACACACACACGCACACACGCATGCACGCACGCACACACACACACACAGAGCTCCTCTCTTTGAGTTTTCCTCCCTACAAGAGGCTCACTACACACCCCATTGTGAAGTATTTCTGCTCAGCAGACCTGTGCTGGGTGACTTGATCCCTGGAGTGTTCGTGTCTGCTCCTGCTGGTCCTTGCAGCCTTGTACACCAGGGCAGGTGGGCCTAGCTTGCAGATGGAAAGCAGAGGCTAGGGTCCCTTGGTGGTCTGGTGGCAATGTATATTTGTGGGCCTCTACCCTGCTCTTGCAATGCAGAAACACCTCTTGCCTGGTGACCACCATCCCCAGTGATGGTGAGGGGTCCCAGGATTGGAGCAGGGTAGACTGGTAGAGTTGGGGTTCAACTATGACTTTACTATCAGAACCCCCCTCTAAATGGTGCTTTCTGCTAAAGCCCCATGTATAAGCCACAAGTAGAACTAGTGAGTTGAAGAGTGTAGGGCAGGGGCCCCACCCATTCTCCTGCCCTCACCTTGCTCAGTGACCCCTGAATTGTCTCTGTGAACCACCATGAGCATTCGAGGCCATTGGAGATCACACTGCCCTGTTCCTCACCTCACACACCTTGTCTCTGTCTTATAGGGCAACATGGGCTTGCCTGGGCTCTCCGGAAATCCAGGACCCTTGGGACGGAAGGTAAGCCTTGGTTCTGCAGTTTGGCCTTAGCCCAGGGCTTTCCAGCCAGCTTGGCTTTCAACACTGTGGGCCACATGTGCCTCATGGCTGTAGCTGGGCTCCCTGGGCAGAGTCTGTTGGCGGGAGGTGGGAGGTTTTTGAGCACTGAGCTTGCTGGTTTGAGTGGATCCTCCCATGGTTATCAGGGTGTGATGAGAAGTGTCCCTGGCTGACTGTCCTTCCCTCAATAATGCTTGAGCACTGTGTGCAGAAGCAGCAGGGTCTACGGTGGCCCTGCTCCACAGCCCACTGGATGAGTGGCCTTAGGCCTGTGTGTCTCCACTATGTGCAATGGGGACAGTGGTCCTCTCCCTGCCCCCCCACATTCTGGGGCTATATGACTCAGGAGCAGGGTTTGGGTTCTATTCCTGTCTTCCTTCACCACTGCCTTGTTGGTGACCTTGGGCAGTTAGTGACCTCTGAGTCTGAGATGCCCCCCACCCCCAGGAGCTTCAAATGAAGGGCTATGTTCTGCAGAGAACACACATTCTTTGTGCATTCCACACAGTTGTCACACTAGCCTGTCCCTGACCCTTACCAGTCGTACTGGGTCTCCCCTTGGTTGGAGGAGACATTCTGTCACTTTCTAGGGTGGGGCCATCACTCCTTCCTCCTTCTGTCTTCTACCCTTCAAGACTAGTTGTGCCTCCTCCAGGAAGCCCTCCCAGGATACCCAGGCTTCAGGCCACCAGCTCAGGGACACTTGGGCCATCTTGGTTACTTCTAGCCCCAAGTCTTGCTTCACCAGTAGAGCATGCACATCAGGTCTGTGGTTCTTTTTTTCCTTCTTGACATAGCATGGAGCTTGTGTGCAACAGGTGTCCCGGAAATGTGGGAGGGACTGTGCAGGCCAGAGGTCAACCACTTTTTGCAGGAAGTCTCCTCAGTATTGAAGTGTTGTCCAGCAAACATGTAGGCCCAGGGCCATGCCTTGAGCATCTTCTCTGGCTCCAAGCTGGGACCCCCAGCTGCCCACTTTAGACCATCTAGTTCCCATTAGGACAGTGGGGTGTCTCCTGGTTCTAGGCTTCCCCTTGCTCTGAGGGTCCCTGTGACACAGGGAATTTGGACTACCACTGCCATCAGTCTCTCCTTTTCCATCTTCTGTGGCAGAGCAGGCCACACCTCTAGTGCCAGAGGCTAGCCCAGCAATGGCAGGGACTGGCAGTGTACTAGGAAGCATGGTCTTTGTTGGCATACTGGGTGCTGTTCTCCACATGCCCCTCATCTGTGCCCTGTGCTTTCTGGTAGAGGAGGTCTAAGTGGAAAAGGCCCCTTCTGGTCCCTCTCATAAAGCATCCCATGGCATTCTTACTCTGCAGGGAGGAAATGCAGGCTTTTGCCAGCTTCAGCCTAGGATTCTGGAACTCCCTGTGCTCAACAGATAAGCAGGGATGCCAAGAGCCCTGGCTCCCCTGTGCAGGTGGAGAGGCATCTTCTGAGTTAAGGAAGAGCTTCCAGCGACTTGAAAGCTATTTGACGAAGCCATGTACTCTGAGCTTTCCTCTGGCCCTGACCCAGGCAAGCATATCTGGTCCTATTTGTCACAGATGCCTTGTCCTAGGACAGGCTGGTATCACCCATTCACAGTGAGAAGAGCAAGGAGAACTCAGGTCCTGAGACAGGGACTCCCTGCCTGTGTTGGTATCAGGGAGGAGGACAGATGGCCTGGGGTCCCGTGCTTGGGCTTACTTACCTCTGTAAGCAGCCCCCCCACCCCACGCACACCATCTCTAGTGGCAATGGCAGACTCCGTGCCCTGTTGCTCCAGGGTGACTTCTGTGCCATCCCTGTGGGAACCCTGAGAAGGAACGCAGGTGAGCAGAGGTGAAGGTAGCTTGCTCATTTCTGGCTGGGGCATTGCATTTGGGTGTCATTCATTCATTCGATGAGAATGTATTGAATACCTACCATGCGCCTATGCTGCATAAACAGACAGAACCCTACCTTACAGAGCTTGCATCTTCTGGGGGACAGACAAGAGAAAAGTGGTAAAAAGCTAAGATGTGTTCGAAGATGGGAAGGGTGTGAAGAAAGTGGACATCAGGGAGTTCTGGCTAGAGAGTGTTAAAAGTATCAGAAAGGGTGACTGGGGCTGGAGCTGTGGCCCAGTCAGTAAAGTGCTTGCCACATGAGCATGAGGACCTGAGTTCAAACCCTCACACCCATGTAAAAAGTCAGGGCGGTTGTATGAGCTTGTAATCCCAGTGCTGAGAGGTGGAGACAGAAGGATTCATAGAAGTTGCTGATCAGCCAGCCTAGCCTAATTGGCAAACTTTAGCCCCAGTGAGATGCCCTCAAAAAACAAGATGGAAAAAAATAGTCAGGTGTGGTGGTGCTTGCCTTTAATTCAAGCATCAGAAGACAAAGGCAGGCAAATCTCTGTGAGTTAGAGGCCAGCCTGGTCTACATAGTGAATTCCAGGTCAGCCAGAGCTATATAGTGAGGCTCTATCTCAAAAAGTAAAATAGGGGCTGGAGAGATGGCTCAGCGGTTAAGAGCACTGGCTGCTCTTGCAGAGGACCCGGGTTCGATTCCCTGG